AAGAAAAAGCTCCGCGCTGAGGATTCTGGGCACTGTAGTTCGGGAGCCCCGGTGCGCAGGCGCACTGGCTTGCCTGGAGGCCAGCCCCGCCAAGCCGGCGCCATTGCTGGAAGCGTTCCCGCCCTGCTCTGCGAGTGCCCTCAGTTGTCCTCAGTTCGGCAGCCAGGTACTCGTTGCCCCCGGCGCCGGGCCGCGGTTCCCCGCCGCCCCTCCCTCGGCGCTTGGCTCCTGGCGGCGTCCGGGGCGTGGCCGGTCCCTCCAGAGCCCGGGTCCCTGAGCGGACACGCCCACCCGAGAGGGGACTGCGGCTGGGCCTCCTCCCTGGCTGTTGGCTCGGTCTCCCCCTGGCCTGGCTGGGGGGCCGTCGGGGCCGTGGGCGGCGGGCGCGGCGCTGGGGTCGGGGAGCGCCGGGCGCGGGGCCCCGGCTAGTAGGGCTCGACCGGGGCGGGCCGCCTCCTCCCGGTCCCGCGCCTTTGACGGAGGGAGGAGGGGGACCCCCGATGCGCTCTTAGGGAAAGGCGGCGAGACTGGAGGAAGGAGAGGCTCCCTCCCGGCTTCTGAACCGGCGCGGATGGAACGGTTTCACACCTGGTGACCTGACAGGTGGATGAACTCCTGTCTTTCGGTACCCGCGGCAGTTTTTCCAGATAATCACTTTTAAATCACTTGTCTCTCCCTGACGTGATAATGGCATCATTGCTTTGGTTGGGAGATGCTGGACTGGTCCATGGCGCTGAAGTTCTCAAGAAGAACATGGTCCCCTTCATTATTTTAAAATAACAAAGCTGGCCTAAGATCCACAGCAAGAGAAATTCCTCAAGTCCTTGGTGCTTCCGCAGTGCTTGGGAAGACAGGGCTTGGGTGAAGTCACAATATCCAGAAAAAAATATCTAGGAAATTACGACTTTGGAGAAGTATTGGCCTAGATAATCTTCTGTGTAATGTCAGAGGTGAAAGGAGAAACTGATCAAGTGATTTTGCCTGTGGACGTATTGCCACAGTAGCCAGACCTAAGATAGAACCTGGGGGTGTGGACAGCCACTGTGGAATTTTATCCCTACACCAAACTCCTGTGTATGTAGAGCTCCTCATTGTCTACTTGGAAAGTGTAGAAAAGTAGAAGGAAGTGTAAAACATCACAGGTCCGGCGCTCCGAGGTCACAGGGGAGTTTTGGCTTATTCACTTGCTGTCTTTGTCTTTATGCATTATTTTTACATAACCGAGATCAAGCTGATTATCTTGAATTTTAAATAGCGTTGGTTATTCTGATTATAAAATTGTAAAAGATGTTTATGGCACAGCTTGGTATTAAACATATTTGGCTAGCATTATCTATACGGCAAAATTGCCGGGGAGGAGTTTATTAATCTTTAGAAATTTAAGAAGAAATGATAACTCAGGTCATTCCTTTTTTTTTTTTTTTTTTAAGAGGTGGGGAGATGGGATGAGAGGGAGAGAGAGAATTTTAAGCAGGCTCCACGCCCAGTGCAGAGCCGGAGGCGGGACTTGGTCTCACGACCCTGAGATCATGACCTGAGCCAAAATTAAGAGTCAGACACTTAACCAACTAAGTCACCCAGGCACCCCAGAACAGTTTCAATTTTTGTCTTAAGTTGTGTTTGAACTTGCCACAAGTGTTGTTTCTAAACTGTGAAATGAAGAGTGATTCAAGAAGTACCAGGCTTGAAGCAGAAACTCAGGCTCTAGAATGATCTTGGTAAAACGTATTTCAATTGGATTTTCCCATGTGAAAAGAAGAGTCTTTAATTTGGGGTTTAGGAGTTAGCTTTAGAACAATATTTCTCAAGGTGTGAACTTGAGGTACTTGTTGACAATGTAGATTTCTGTGTTTCCCACTTAGAGATCCTGATTTAGATCTTGGAAGGAGCCAAAGAATTTCCTTTCTGAAAAACATGCCTAGGGGGTGCCTGCATGGCTCAGTCGGTTAAGTGGCTGACCTTTGATTTCCACTCAAGTCATGATCTCAGGGTCATGAGATGGAGCCCGCCTTGGGCTCTGCATTGGGCGTGGAGCCTGCTTAAGATTCTCTCCCTCAAGGCGCCTGGGTGGCTCAGTCGGTTAAGCGTCAGCCACGATCTCAGGGTCCTGGGATCGAGCCCAGCCCCACATCAGGCTCTCTGCTCAGTGCGGAGCCTGCTTCTCCCTCTCCCTCTGCTGTTCCCCCTGCTTGTGCTCTCTCTCTATCAAATAAATAAATAAATAAATAAATAAATAAATAAATAAATAAATAAAATCTTTTAAAAAAATTCTCTCCCTCTCCCTCTCCCTCTGCCTCTCCCCGCTCCATCCCCACTACTGCCACTCATATGCCCTCTTTCCCTCTCTAAAAAAATAATAAAATAAAATAAATGAAAATCATGCCTAGTGAGCTTTTTGCATCTCTGTTTAAGATGTGGGAGTTTTTATTTTTCTATTTTTTTTTTAAGATTTTATTTGTTAGAGTACAAGAAGGGGGAGCAGCAGGCACAGGGAGAAGCAGGCTCCCCGCTGAGAAAGGAGCCCAATGTAGGACTTGATCCCAGGACCCTGAGATCATGACCTGAGTGGAAGGCAGATGCTTAACCGACTGAGCCACCCAGGCATCCCGGATGTGGGAGTTTTCTAATTATACTTAGGAATTTTCTGGGGTAAGAGTCATTTTCATTAGATTTGCAGAGGAATCCATGACCTAAAACAAGGTAGAGAAATACTGGTGTATGGGTAAAGCACTTTTATGAGTAACTTTTGAGACTTCAGTATAAGAATCCTCTCAGATTATTCATTCTTTTTTTTTTAAGATTTTATTTATTTGACAGAGAGCACAAGCAGAAGGAGAGAGAGGGAGAAGCAGGCTCCCTGCTGAGCAAGGAGCCCGATGTGGGACTCAATCCCAGGACCCTGGGATCATGACCCCGGCCGAAGGTAGCTGCTTAACCAACTGAGCTACCCAGGCGTCCCCAGATTATTCATTCTTTATCCAAGTCTTATCGTCATGCTCCACTGTGTTTTTCCTCCCTCAACTTCTTATTTCTCTTTCACCAAAATCTTTTCATTGGACATAGTGAAGCCCCAGGGTCATGGAACAAACTGCATGTGGAGGTCTTCTGATCAGATGGGGGGCCACCAAATGTGGGGTGACCTGATCAGGTAGAGGTCGGTGGCGAGGGCAGTAAAATTCACCCAAGGCAGAACAAAGGAGTTTACTAAACACACTATAAGGGAATGGCAGGCGGGACAGCAAGGGAGAGACTGCAAGGAGGCTGTGGTGGGGGGCTGGAGTTAGGCGGGAAGGTGAGGAGGTGTGGGAACATACGGAATTTTCCCTTTTTGGTGCCTGTATCCAGGTGTAAGTAACCCATTGGTCAGCCAGGGATTATGGATATTTTGAGGTGGGTCACCTAATGGGTCTGTTTGTATTCAGCCTGGTGGTCACTGTGGGCCCTTCTACCTCACTTAAGATTCCATTGTTCAAGTTGGTTGCCCAAAAGCAACCTCTACACTACAGTCTTAAGAGAATCGCATTTTCTTTTTCTTTTTTTAAAAGATTTTATTTATTTGAGAGAGAGAGCATGAGTGGGGAAGGCGGGGAGCAGAGGAAGAAGGGGAGGAGAGAGAATCTGAAGTAGACGCCGCCCTGAGCGCAGAGCCCTGCTCTGGGGCTCGATCTCATGACCCTGAGATCATGACCTGAGCCAAAACCAAGAGTCGGATGCTTAACCTACTGAGCCACCCAGGTGCCCCGACAAGCGCTTGTTTTCTTGATTTAACTAAACTCCACTCTCCCAGGCTTACCCAAGAACTTTACATTTTTCTTTCATGACCATTCATTCTACTAATTAGGAAATTAATTTTTCAGCTTTAACCGAGTCTATGTGGTTTGAACAAGAAAGCCTATTTCTTTCTCATATAAAAGTCTGAGTTGTTAGGTGGCAGGCAGTGATAAGGGTAGGCAGCTCTCATCCATTAGGTCATCTGGAAACCCAGGTTCCAGTCATCTCTTTGCTTCACCACCTCCTGGGGGCATTATCTTTCCTATGGTAGCAGCTGACTCACTCTTATCCTGTTGCATTCCAGGCCTTTGGAAAGGGAAACGAAGAACTGGAGGCCAAACAGCTCCCTTTTAAAGATGTGACATCAGCTCTCTTACTCAAATCCCATTTGCTGTAATTTAGTCACATGGGTACACCTGCCTACATGGTGGCTGGGAAATGTCTCTAGCTGGATGACCTTATGTCCCGCTGAGATTTCAAGCCTTTGTCAATATAGAAGGGGAGACTGGATGTTGGAAAGCAATTAGCAGGCTCTGCTACATTGGCCTACATAAGTTTCCTGCTGCTTGAGTCAGTCTTAGAAAAAAAAAAATTTTTTTTTTTTAGTCTTAGAAAATTTTTAAACAAAAATTGTTCTTTGGGAAATTTTATTTTTATTGGCATACAGTTTTAAGATGATTTATATGTTATAGCCCCTTTCTTTTTTTAATTAATTATTTTTATTAACATATAATGTATTATTTGTTTAAGGAGTACAGGTCTGTGATTTTATCAGTCTTACACAATTCACCACACTCACCATAGCACATACCCTCTCCAGTCTCCATCACCCAGCCACCCTGTTATAGCCCCTTTCTTGTGTCTATTTTTAGTTTATTGGTATATTTTCTTCTTTGGCCAGTGGCATATATATTTCATTATTTAGAGAATCAGCTCCTGCCTATGTCAATTGCTTTGTTATTTACTAGTTTCTTTATTATTTCTCTTTATGGTTTGCTTGTTAATTATTTTTCTTATCTAGTTGAATGTTTAATATTTTTATTCTTTTAAAAAATGTTAGTTACATGTATTTAGGGATATAAATTTTATCTTTTTTAAAGAGTTTTGGTGACCCATGAGTTTTTAATCTACAATTCTCTCATTTTCTAATTCACTGGCAATTAAAGTTCTCTCTTTGACTTAATAGGTACTCAGGAGGGTCTATTTTAATTCCCTGGTGATTGGGTTTTTGCCCCCTCACTCCAGACTTACATTTGTAATTCTACATCATGGTTAGAGAGTGTCATGTATTCAGTTTTGTTTTTTTTAAGATTTTATTTTATTTTAGAGAGAGAGCACATGAGAGTGGTGGGAAGGACAGAAGGAGAGGAAGAGAGAGAACCTCAAGCAGACTCCCCACTGAGCACAGAGCCCCACATGGGGCTCAATCCCATGACCCTGAGATCATGACCTGAGCCAAAATCAAGAGTTGGACACTTAACCAATTGAGCCACCCAGGTGCCCTCCCCCTACCCCTGGCATGATGATTTATTTTAGTGTGTGTATGCTTGTTATAGTAAGAGCTTTCTTTCTTTTTTTCATCCACAGAGATACTACTTCATTTTTTAAATGAAATATAATTGACATATAACATTATATTGGTTTCAGGCATACATCATAATGATTATGTATTGCAAAGTGATCATCACAAATCTAGTTATATCCAGCACCACACACAGTTACAGATTTTTTTCTTGTGATGAGAACTTTTAGGATTTACGCTTATCAACTTAAAAATATAATATGGTATTATTAATTATAGTCACCATTCTGTACATTACATCTCTAGGACTTATATATTTTATAACTGAAAGTTGATAGCTTTTGACCACCTTTGCCCATCTCGTCCACTGCTCATC